AAATGTGTTGACCCCTAAAACTCTTTAAGCCCTCAAAACTGAACTTTAATACAACATAATTAATCTAAATATAAATGATATATTAATTTTGTTTTGAAAAAATGATATTTTTACAAATTTTTTGAAAATATGGAATTTTGAAAAGTGTCATTTGTCACTTGAAAAGTGACTTTTTATAAATTTCTCTAGATTCAAACTTGAAGGAACAGTTCCAAAATAAAACATGTTGCGAATCTAAATCCATTTTATGCTCTCATTTTTTGTTTGGTTCGAAGCTATATAATGTGTGACTGAGAAAATAAAAATGTGATTTTTGTAAGAATAGGTATTTTTTCGGTAGAAAAATTTATGGATAAAAAGCACATAAAAAATGTCTTAAAGGAAATTTAAAAAAGAAAAAAGTATAAAAAAAGAAGTTTTGGCACAGGTATAGACAATTCTGCCCTTTTAAATCAATATGAAAAGCACGTGAGTGTAAGAAAAAGTCTAAAAAAGAAGATCAGGTTTTCTTCGGGTACTGATCGTGTGAAACATAAAAGAAAAAATTCATACAATCTTCGGTATAAGATGACGGTGTTAATGTGGAAAATTCAACTCCAATACCTCTCACCATAAAATGTCTTTTTTCACTTTTCAATTGTTTAATGAATTTACATGTAACAATTCATGGGTTTACGTCATCTTCTTCCGTTCTTCGTACGTAATCCAATGTTCTAATTTCAATTCCCATGTTTTTCTGTCTTTGTTATAGTGCTTTTCTGATTCGAACAAAGATCAGGTGTTTTTTTATTCTTATGTTGAAAGACGTCAAATTATTTTTTAAACTTTTGGTGTGCCGATCCGAATGATGAAATATTCTTCAAGCCTAAAGTCGTATAAATCCTTAATAATTGTCCCACGTTTGGATCGTAAATAGACGTCACCTGACTTATTCATTTATATAGTAATATTTTATCGATAAACAAGTGAAGTGATTCAACTAAAACTGCATCTCACTATTAACACGGCTCATCTCCAATTAATTACGTTTGTTGTCAACATAATTCTACACTTAAGCTATCATAACAGTCAAATAAAAATGCTACACATGTCGATTACACTTAAGTTTTCCGCCAATTTTATAGTCTTTTGAATTGCCAGAGCATTTCCGCAGCCCATTAAGATTATATAAAATTATAACACCAATTCGTGAGGCTGCTTTTTTAGTCCCACTTTAGAACATTGTTAGTTGAATAAACGAAGCAAGAGAAAAATGGTTCTTGTATTCAACTTAGTTTGTTCTGTTACAATAAATCCCTTTTATTCTGGATAAGGGATCTGGTACAAACACAATTGTAAACCGGATTAAATTACCATATGGTTTAGTAAACCGATTACTCTAATAAACATCTCCCATTTATAGATATTTCATGATATATCAACAATTAAAATAAGAAAAACTAGAAGAGAGAATAGTACACATTTTAAGATAGCTCGATAGAACATAAATGTTCATGATAACTAGGGTAGCAGATACATAAGAAAGTAATTAAGTTAGCTTGTTAAAACGTAATTAGACATGAGATAACGTGAGTTGTACTAACATGTTAGTCTACTATGCATAAATTAGATGCTTAATAGATCGGACTGGTAAATATGTTGATTCCCCTATATGTTAATTTATTTTATAAACATGTAAATAAAATAAAAAGGGAATCAAGAATTGTGGAAATTGCTGGGACGTTTAATTCATGTCTATCTATCGATAACCAAATGTAGTGATTCAACTAAAACTGCGCCTTACCATTATCAAGACTCTTGTCCAGTTAATTAGTTTTGTTGTCATCATGATGCTGCACATAAAGCAATCATAACAGTCAAACAAAAATGCTACATGTCGATTATACATTTTCCACCAATTTTGTTTTCTTGTGATTTTGTCCCCTTCTAAAAATAAATAATGTATTTCACAATATTTTATTGCAATTGTTCTAATTTGCTACAAAGGAGCTTGCTTGATTTTGCCTACAATTATCTGGTGCTTTTGTTTATACAGTTTGTTGCATCCGCTTTGTAGCATTACAGTTTATGTCTTTCGCATAGGTGCATCGATAACAGGCCCGGTTCAAACCAAGAATGGACCTTGTGCCAAACCAAAACAAGAAGAAAAAAAATTAGGCTAAATTTGATAAATCAGAAAATTTGGGCCCTTTCATAGATAATTTTAAAAATTTAGGGCCCTAAAATATAATAAAAATCTGTGCAAATAAGTGGGGGTCTTTGCTAATGCACAGTAAAAACACCCATAGGGTTGGCCTGATCGATAATAACTCCTGCGAAAGATGGAATTTTCGGTTAACAAACTCTTCCTAACACATCGTTGTGGGGGGAAGGGGGGGGTTACTTTGTAATGCTCTATACCGTTTTATCCATATCTCTTTCTGCAATATCGAATATTCGAAATGATCACAAGTCAAACATTCGTTAATCATAAACGAGTTTTTCAATATCTTTTTCGACTATTACTTCTTTGGCAATTTTCGAGTCGCGGGAGGAGTTGCCATGTTTTGAGAAAAACTCATGGTGTGACTGATGATTAGAAGAAGAAGTGAAATTTGTTAAAAAAAAAGAGAGTTCAACCGAGAAAGAATCAAGAACGGTGGTTTCGAAGAGAGGTTCGGTTGGAACTGAGCTTGTCATCGGGTTTTCGAGTACTCTCTTCAAGCGATTACCGCTTTCTTAGCCACGAAGAAGCGCCTCGACCGTAGAAGACAATGGTGAATTGAAGCCGAAATTTTGCAGGTGAAAACTAGAAGATTGGAGGATGACGATTGTGCTCTTTGGAAACATGGGGAAGGAAAATACAAAGATACRTTCAACTCCAARGCAACTTGGAATCTAATTCGTTCTCCAAGCCAAACAAGAAA